CTTCATTTATTTATAAATTCGGAATAAATAAATGAAACTAGAGTATTAAGAAGTAATGGAAATTTTCATGCAAATTGATTTATGTGTATTCCAACTTGATTTGTTTATTATATTTATTTTATTTTATTTCAATGATTATCACATCTTCAATGTGTCAAAAGGAAAATGGCTGCCACTACAGCAATATACAGCAATGGCGGTTCGTACTTAATGTGAGTTAAGTACGTACACAGAAAAACAAAGTTTTTAAATTTAATAAGAATGTTATTCATTTTTTTAAAATATATTTATTAAAATAAATAATATTAAGAATAAATAAATGCTTCAATAACATTGAAAATTCATTTAGTATTCGATTTTCTACCGAAGCAAATTCAATTTCATTTGGTTGATCGAAGTTACCAAATGTGTCAATGCATTTCAGGAGTAATGAGATTTGTTCATTGAGATTCAAAAGGGAATACGTTTGAAGTTTATCATTAGATTTCTACCGAAAAATTAAATGAATTTATTTTTTTCATGTGTATTTTTAACAATTTATTAGTCCAATGAATATATCATATTTTGAATTTATAAAATGTGGAAATTTAACAATTTATTAACACGGTCTTCCTAGCGTTCTCCAAATACTGTATTTAACGAAATTTAACCAGATTTAGAGATTACGAGAGATTACTTAAAATTCATGTGAGTTCGTAGTAATGACACTAGGTACACGTAGTCATGACACTAGGTACACGTAGTTACTCACAGTTCATGGCTTATTATTTCATATAGCTCACGATTGAAAGTCGAACGGTTTTTCTCCCAAAAACTATGAATACATCCACTACTCTTCATCCGTTCACCTGCAACAGACTGTTCATATTTATGGATAGCAAATTCAATTTCACTTTTGTCTTTCGATAAATCCAGATCTTGATCACTCTGTGTATGATTTTGGGCAGCATATTCTTCGTCCAATTCTTCATACAAATCGTTGATTCCATATGATGATTTACTTTGTATTTCGACTTGAGTTGCCACTTCGTTTGTTTCCTCGCAATTTTTAACTGATTTGATTCGCTGCCATATATTTGCAAGAGTCAGTTTGACAAAAACAACCAACTCTTTATCCGAATCGATATCACATTTGTATCGGGGGTCCAAAAACAATGCGCAACGCATCAATGAATTGGTAATCAACGGCTTTTTGCGTTGATCTAAGCAGCTCTGCAAAGCATCTGCTAGTTTTGTATAACGACAAGGATCCGACTTGAATTGATTCAGTTTCATGTCCATCATTTTTAGTAGCCCATTAAAGTCAGAGAGCGTAAAGTCTTTTTTCTGTAACATCACTGTTGATAAGTATGGGAGATGGAGAATTGTTTTCAACTCCTCCAAAATATGCCAGCGCTGTAGAAGCAACTCCGCCGCTGGTTCCGACACAGCGAAGTGTTCAATGATGTGTTTACATTTTAAAATACTCTGAATCTATAAACAACAAAAATTTAAATCAATGAAATATAGGTAAATTTAAGTTGATTCGAATTTGAATTAAATCGTTCTCACCAAAAGGTAAGTAGAACTCCATCTGGTTTTAACATCCAAGCATGGCAGAATTGAAGTCAGTCCTTCTTCTCGCATTTCATTTTGGGTGCTCTGTTTACGTAAGAATTTAGCCACCAATCGACATAAGTCGACGACGTTTTGATCTTGTGTCGATAAAAATTTCAAGGCATCTTTGACTGCGAGCTGGATTGTATGTACAGCGCATTTGATTGAGTTGACAAACAATGATTGATTGCCTGTTTCGTTTCTCAACTTGGCCACCAATTTTTCAAAGAGATTTTCGTAAAAATCAACATCGCCCAAAAGTTCATCTAATGCATCCTCGTCCATTGTGGTTTTCAGCAGATGATCAATGTCTTTATCAATGCTATCATCATTTTCGCTAGGCTCTGCTGATTGTGTCTGGCTTTGTTCGCACTGTTTTTCACTTTCAGATGGCTGAGTGCTACTGTCGCCTCGTAATTTAAATAATATATCCTCCACCTCTTTTACCATTGCCAACATGTTACTGCCGTTGTCAGTTGTTATAGATATTACTTGCTCCAACGTGATTTCGTATTCAGACAAAACTTCGATTAAAACCTCTGCTAAATATTCTGCCGTGTGTGATTTCTTCAACTCGCGCATTCCAATTGCAACGACTTTCACAACGCCATTTTGTTTATATTGTAAACTAATGCCGTAAATTGAGCGACCATTCCGAGTGGCTGAATTTACCATAACCGAAACAATTTTATTGTGTGTTTCAGATTTAATTTGCTCTTTAATTTGCTTAGCGGTCGTGTGCACTTTTTCTTTAATTTCGCAGAGATGCTCGTCTGATAGATTTACTGGACAACCGGCCGATTTAAACAGTTCTAATTGTCGTTTGTGACCATTCCGATACCCAGACTTCGATAGAACAGCAAATGGTTCACTATTGATTGTGCAAAGCTCGACAGCACTAAATAGAAACTCTTCTCTTTGAACAAAAACATGTGGTTGTTTGGCTTCAAGAATTTCATTGTAATAAATTTCTTTGTGGTTGGGTCGATCAGTTTTAAAGTGAGCCACGAGATTAGTTGATTGTTTGCCACTTAACTCGTTTTTGCAAATTTTACAGCGATATTTTTTTGTTTTTGCATCTACAACAGTTAAAAATGCCAGCGCACGATTAATTTGCGTATTTCCACGCTTTGTGTTTTCTTTTTCTTCAGAAACATCACTCATTGTAAACAGCATGCAAAAACTGAACTGAAAATTTCTTTTTGCTACTTCAAAATAGAAGCAAAATGTATATGAGCATATCGATTGCTTGATTGAAACGGAAACTGTTGAAAATGACAGCTCATAACAAATATAATGATCCTTCAGCTTGATGATGATTGGCGCAGAAAAATAAACAAAAGACACAGCGAGCACTATGCAACAATGTAGCAAGTGTACAAGCAACAAAGACGAAAAAGAGTAAGCGATAGTATTCTATTCCATAAAAGGGCATTTCACACGGACACACTGTAGTCGCATACTTCAATATTTAGCGGTTCTGCGTGTTGATAATTTCATCTCTTTCTTTTAAACGTGAATATGCGACAAAAATTAGCGCTAGAGCAACACTCACAACGAATTATGATCGCGAATATTCTATACGCATATTTTTCCCGCAATTTTCATACCGCTTCTCAAGCAATAGCATCGTGCAGCAAGACAAAGTCACATAGTGTCTCATTTTTTCGATTACTTTAAATAATAACGTTAAAGTTATCGTAAATTTCCAATCTGCTTGAAATTATTATTTTCAAAATCAAGTGCAAGTGTGAAAGTTGAAAAAAAAACATGAATTTGGTTGTTGCATATTTGTCAAAGGTGCGTCAGCATGTTATTGTTCCCGAAAATTATATTCATGGTTTGGATATGACGGCATTGAAAAATTATGGCAATAATTGGTGTCGTGATCAATTAATCTATTGGTCTGACGAATGCATCGAAGGTCAACACTATCCCGATCCAAAAGATGATGCTCGTGTTTCAGAGCAATGGCCGGCTGGACTTGGCGCTTGGTACCATGCTCGCACAATTTTTTATACCGGTATGTATTACTTGCATTGAGAAATATTTATTCATTTCAAAGTGCTAAGAACCACTCATTTTTAAGACGACATCGAAGAGGCGAAGAAAATCAAAGAAAAGCGGCGTAAAGTTTTGCCTGGCACATATAATCAAGCACGATTAACTTAACGGCCAATTCCAATGCTCGTTTTAGCAGCGAATGATGAACAACAGCAATCCGACGATAGTGATGGCCAGGTTGCAGAAAATCCATCAGGTGAATCCAATTCACTTTTGGACGAATCGATCTCGAATTCAAATGGCACAACAAATGAAACGCCAAACAATGAAGAGACAGAAACAGAAAATAACGAACAGCAATCTGATGAGGCACAAGTGGTCGAACAAAATTTATTGGATGAAGCGGCAACCAGCTCGGGCGATTTGAATGGTTCAGTTCAGGCAAATATTTCACTGAATAATGATCACTCCGAGCAATCGGATGAAGGATCAAATGCGCAGTCGAATGATGTACAACATCCATCCAATGGTACAGATTCAATTGTACAGACGGCATCGAACCGAAGTGACTCAGTCGATGAATTTTTTATTGATTTTGAGCCACCAACAAACGTAACGATTGCAAGTGATAGTGGTGCATCAACATCGAAAGAAAAAAAATGCACCATCGATTAAACCAGAGCCAGATTTTGAACCGCTTTTTGGACAAACCGCACAGGCTGCAGAAGACATATTGAATGGCAGCCACGAAAGTGACAATGAATCTGTTGATGTTTTGGCTGGCTCGAATAATGCGATGCGGAATGTCGAATATGAAATAAATCGCAGTTATGAAAATTGCGACGAATCTGGTGATGTTTTGGTTTGCACAAGTGACGTATTGCCGAAGCCATTCGTTATGCGAAATCCGTATGAAGTAAAGCAGTGTGATATCATCTCTGGCAACATGGCTTATGCGACAAATGTAATTATTTTTGATTATATTAAACAAACATTTTGTGTTTACATTTTTTTCATTCAATAAAATTAAATGTTTTCCACAGAATGAGGGTGACCGAGCATACATGGTGTCACGGGGTACTGAATGGAAGCAATTCTGTTTGCCGAATCGCATTGTGAAAGGATTGAAAACTTTCAATGTGGACGGATTTCGCAATTCAAGCGATTATGATAAAAAATTCGTCAAGGTTCTTCTGGTTTCATGTATTGGCATTAAAATATTCAAGACGGGGATTTGAACGAGTTCGCAATCGAATTCATAAAAGGTACGGCTAATTTGTTCAACATACGTTGCGACGGCGACCGTATCGAAGGCTTTGAGCAACTGCTCAAAGATTGTGGCGAAGAACTGGTCCAACGTTTTAAATAAACATTGTTGTTCGTTAAGCATTAAAAATGTTACGATTCATTAGGCATCGGCCGTCAAAAAAAACAAAATCTTCTCAAATTTAAAATAAACAATGATAAAGTGTACAAAAAAATGCGCGTTTTGGTTTTCATTCTTTTGTTATGTGTGTTTATTCTTTTTTATAGCAATAATTTTCAGTATTCGATTCTTTGTGTCAAAAAGCAAACTAAAAAAAAATTGTGTAAATCAGAACGAAAAAAAAAACACAACAGCAGTCGTCACAATAGTGATGTTATTCGCTGCGCGCGTACATTACGAACGCGCGCGTCTGCTGCAAACGACCGTGCACTGTGACGCACGATTGTATGTATGCGTTCCATGCCCAATGGCTATGGTCCATAGAATTAACTATTGCACCATATTTCCATTTGAAATACAGTGCTTGAACTCAACCTAGGCAGTTTTTTCGTTTATGGAATCGTTTATTTTGTC